GGGATAAAATATACGCTAGCTTATATTACGGTATCATTTGGTATTTCAGCATATATTGATCACAATCTCGTAATCCCTAATACCAAATAACACTTGAAATTCAATATCAATTTCATATTTATATTTGGTGAAATCAAATATCAACAAATTAAATATAATATACAGTATATATCCAAATATCGAGATAAAAATTCCAACCCTACCCATGAGTCATAACTATGGAGTGGGCTGGTAGGCCTTCTTCCCATTGTTGTAACCCCAAATATGTGTCAGGGTAATTAATGAACTCAACCACATTGTGGTACTGTGCTGATGATGGACATGTTCTGGGGAGTGGGGACCTGATAGTAGTTCAAATTAGGGATGGCAATGGGTCGGGTTGGGGCGGGTTTTGTCAAACCCAAACCCATGGGTTTGTCCGCCAAAAAAACCCGGGGTAAAACCCGTTGGGTTTGAAAAACTCAAACCCAACCCGCTGGGTATCCGCGGGTTCATGGGTACCCGTGGGTTTTTGTGGTAAAAAATTTACAATAACAAGTTTCTTTCAAAATAAAAGTTTAACATTAATTTTCTCATACAAATTATTCATACAAAAAACACCAGTCTAGAGCATACAAGCAAACCGCAAATGATCAATACACATTGTTCAAAATTAAAGATAAACATCTATAAACAATAAGATTAATTAAAAGCTTCTTACTCGTCAACTAAGTTTCTTCACTCTCCACTTCATAATATCAACTTCATTCTAAACATTTAGAAACAACAAATTATATATGTCTCCACAAACATAAAGAATATTAATTGTTTAAAGAAGATATATTATTTAGAGTATTAAATATACCGGGAAAGTAATTATATGTGTGTGGGCGTGTACCCATGGGGCGGGTTTACCTCAACCCGACCCGGTGAATAGTGTAGCGGGTTTAAACCCAAACCCGGCCCAAAACCCGTCAACATGGATTTTACCCATGTTGACCGGGTTGGGTCGGGTGGGTACCCGTGGGTTCGGGTCTTGTTGCCATCCCTAGTTCAAACTTAAGAGGTAAAACTGAAGGCAATCACAAAAATACGCAAAAATTAGTGGAGATGCAGGGGATCGAACCCTGTACCTCCCGCATGCAAAGCGGGCGCTCTACCATTTGAGCTACATCCCCATTTGTTCGACAGTTACTCTCTTATTATAGCTCCAATATATTTCAGTCCCCAATTGATAAGTTTCAGATGACGCTACCACCTTGAATAACTTAATAATATACCGATTTCCTCTTGCAATAGTATGAAAATGGAACTATAGTTATATCATGTCATACGGACTCTAATACAAAAAAATAATAATAAACAGTACTTATTGTCGGTGATAAATTAACAAGCTTATGGTTAAACTAAATCGATAATGCGCAGTTAGAAGGTAAGGAAATAGAAGAATATATGTATACAGTATATTGATAGTCAAGGTTAAGCATGAGATCATAAGCACCCAATTTGGTTTCAGATCAAATACAAACTCATAATTCACTCCTTTCTGCTGTGTTTAGGAAGGGCGGAAAGGTAGGGGACGTTTTCAAGCGTGAGAACAGTAAGGGAGGGAGAAAAATCCGAAAGAAAGTTTAATATATATATATATAGGTGGCTACTTCGGTGCACTCACTTTTTTGGGTGCACTCAGTGCACCCAACTCTAAAAGCGTCCATAATACATCAAATTTTGAACTTTAATTAGTACTCTCAATATAATATGATGATATGACATAGAATCATAACAAATCAATCCATTACCCTAACCCATTAACCTTCAATTTTGAATCCCAACCCAAAATCCCAAATTGTAAACCTAAACCCTAACCCTAAACCCCTAAATCCTAAATACTTCAAATTAAAGTAAATTTTGAATGAATTTTTTTCAAATTCATGTGCTTCTTGTTCATAATATCATAAGCAACAATTGATACCGTTTTGACATGAATCGCATGGTCAGAATGACAATTATGAGGCGGGTGCACTGAGTGCACCCGAAAAAGTGGGTGCACCGAATACGCCACCATATATATATATATATATTTTGACAAAAGGCACTGGATGACCTTTTGCATACTTGAAATCAGAACATTTTCTGTTTTTTGTTTAATTTACTTTTGAACACTTCACTCGAACTGAACCGCTAAATAATAGGTATTCACGGAGTAGACAGTAAATCTAGGATCAGGGTTGACAATTAAAATTGAACCCACTATACTGCATTTCCAGGCTGCGATTACACTTGGTCGTAGTTTGGTGTTGTATTTTAGCGAGTCACTCATCTTAAACTTGCCATGCACGGTACCACATTTTGAAAATTTTCTAATCAAGGCATCTCTCCCTCATGACCAAGAGCGAAGGGAACATTGCCTTCCCTATGTTGTCCCCATGTGGTGAACATGATGGTCGAATTAATTGCCCGAGCACCACTTCCCCACCTGCACTCCACGCCTCAACGACAGACGAGTTGCCACACATATCGGGTGCAAACGAGAGCCGAGGTCTAGTGACTCGCTTAAAGGCACACTATCTCCTCTCCATACAAGTCCATGAGGAGGAGAAGTTTTTGGGGGATGGAAGGTAGTGAAAGAGGATCGGGATGCTAGAAAGCTATCCGAACCCCAAACTGTTAGAATATGACTTGAATTTGATTTGGGTTTGTTTTGTGTTTTGGGCCTATTTTGTCTGGGTTTGTGTTTGGGTTTTGTTTGACCTTTTCCTTGTATGTTTGGGAAAAGGTGTTTGGTTTTTTGTTTGGGATTAGGAGAAGAGTTCTATAAATACTCTTCATCACCCTAGTCTGTAGTAAGGTCAGTCAGGTTAGTTTGTTTGGTTTGTCCGTTTGGAATTTGGTTTGTAACCTGTACTCTCCTCAAAATTAGTGAAATTTGTCCCCCTGCCCGTGGATTAGCTAGCACACATTGTGTTAGTGAACCACGTTAAATTTGTGTTCGGTCGTGTTGGTTTGGATTATCGATTGCCACGCTTCTGTTCTGACAAGTGGTATCAGAGCCTGGTTGATCGGCTGGGCAATTGGCTAGGGATTTTGGTGACTGCTGCAGTATCAGGAGAGAGTTGCATCGTTTGGTTTGTCGAGAAGAAAATTTGGAATTTGCAAACGGAGAGCTAGTTGGCGGATCAATTGGAATTTGGAAGCAATTACTTGAATTTATGGTGTTCGGTAATAGCTTGTGGTTTGGGGAGAATTTGTTTGTTGCCCTTGGTGGTGATTAGGGTTTTTGATCACCAAGGATGTTTGTTCAGGATTTAAAGATTGAGAAGTCGATTTGGAGTTGCAGGTTTGAAGTTGAAAGTAAATCTGATGTTGGTGTTATCGATGGAAATAACACCAAGTTGGTTATGCATGGCAAGTCCGAACATGGGTTGGACTTGGTGCATGTTTTGATTTGTTGATCGCCCTTAGGGGCATCTGGAGACAGGGGAGATTCTGGTACAACTGATTTGGAGGAGTTTGGTACTTCTGGCAATTTTTATTGCATTTGAGTTTGGCAATATACATCGCATTTGAGTCTGGTGATATGGATCACATTTGGATACGTCTGGCAATTTTGATTGCATCTGAGTTTGGCGATTTTTATCGCGTTTGAGTCTGGTGATTTCGATCACATCTGGTACATCTGGCAACTTTGGTTGCGTCTGGTACATCTGCCAACTACTTTAGTTGCGTCTGGTACATATGGTATTTGACAGAAAATTCAAGTCAAGGTGGAGATTGTTAGAATATGACTTGAATTTGATTTGGATTTGTTTTGTGTTTTGGGCCTATTTTGTCTGGGTTTGTGTTTGGGCTTTGTTTGACCTTTTCCTTGTATGTTTGGGAAAAGGTGTTTGGTTTTTTTGTTTGGGATTAGGAGAAGAGTTCTATAAATACTCTTCATCACCCTAGTCTGTAGTAAGGTCAGTCAGGTTAGTTTGTTTGGTTTGTCCGTTTGGAATTTGGTTTGTAACCTGTACTCTCCTCAAAATTAGTGAAATTTGTCCCCCTGCCCGTGGATTAGCTAGCACACATTGTGTTAGTGAACCACGTTAAATTTGTGTTCGTTCGTGTTGGTTTGGATTATCGATTGCCACGCTTCTGTTCTGACACAAACACATCCTCAAATGGCACTCCAGACCGAGAGAAGAGTCTTTCGATGGCTCAACTCAAACACTGTGACCAGTTGCCTCTCACGTGAGAAGCTCAATTTTTCAAAAGAAAAATTCAAATTGGCGCACCTTTTACAAAACATTTTGGAGTCCTAACTTGGGGAATCCTACACACATGTCCTAACCTCAATAGTAAACATTATCGACACAACCGAGAGTAAATCAAAGTAAAGCCACTCATTATCAATAATTCTCATGGCACCACTCTATTCCCTCGAATGCACACCATCATAATCGTCAAACAATTCAGAGCACACTAAGCAAGATCAAACTAGGGACAATTGTGATTGGAACCCTTCGAATTTTCACATTCAAACAACAATCTATATTCCAAAACACATCTCAATATTGGTCATTAATCATTCATTCATGCACAAGTGGTTGGAGCCCTCAAATTGTAGAAATTTGGCAATCACAAGGCTCCAACAAATTCAAATAGGCCATTCACACTCATTATTCACACGCCAATTACAAATATATGTACACCCCACACTCATTGTGTATAATGCGGTTTGGTCCTTGGACCAATAAATTTATAATTAGTGAAGAAAAATTGATCGAATTGACATATGGACCAAACAAATGAGACTAAATAATAATGGTCTGATCTTGATTCTAAGACATCTTTCACTAATAATGGTTCTCGATTCTTATGAGTTCGGTGCATTCCGGACCATACTAAACAGTTGCACATCCCTAATAACGAATAAGCCAAAGATAATATATTTTTTACTTAAAACCATAATTTAGTAGTGATATAATAGTTTTATAAGAAACATTAAATATGTATATATTTTTTAATAATCATAACTATCTGCTTCTAAAATAAAGGACTAATATTTTTCCTAAAACAGTTAACCGCTCCTTGGGAAACTTGTTGCTCTGCTTGGTGGGGGGAAATGTCAAAATCTGGGATTTGAAGCTGTGCCAAGCAGAGTTCGCACACAATCATGTAGTGAATCGGAGCACCGGTTTCAGCTCGTTTCCGTGTGGTTTATGCGCGTACCCCGCGCAGGCTGCTTGATATGATGGCACTACCTGATAAGACTCGCACTCACTGCAAAGCTGCCGAATTTGCTAATACCTTGCAGGAAGTGCACCAGATGGTTCGGGCAAACTTGGAAGCGGCTGCGGGCAAGTACAAGAAGACAGTCGACAAGAAACGACGACATGTAGAGTTCAACGTGGGCGATTTTGTGTGGGTTTTCCTCACCAAGGACAAGGATTGCTTCTCTGTTGGGGGCTATAACAAGCTGTCGGCCAGGAAGATCGGGCCATGGAAATAATCGAGAAGATCAAGCTTCCCAACCATCTGCGCACGTCGGATGTCTTCAATGTTAAACATCTGGTTCCACTTGCTGGTGATGATTCGGATCGGATGACAACAATTCGAGGGCGAATTCTGTTCACCAAGGGGAAGATGATGCAGTGACGGATGTGGAGAATCAGTTCGTGGAGAGCCGAGACAAGATGAAACAAAGGTGGCAATTGGATCGGATTCGTGGATTCGTGGATTGGATTGGTGGATCCATGGATCAAATGGATTGGATCCAATGGATTGGTGGATTCATGGATTGTATCAAATGGATTGGTGGATTGATTCTATACTTATACATATACTTTTTATACAAATTCTTTTATGGTATAACTTGAACTTTGTACCTTTATGTGATGATACAACTTCAAGTTATAAAGTTGTACCATAACATAATGATACAAATTGCTTTATGGTACAACCTAAACTTATACATTTAATGTTATGGTACAACTTTGAGTTGTACATCAAAACACCAATGCTATATAGCATAGTAGAAGTGCTCTAATTTTTCAGGAATCGAAGTTTTGCAGAGCACGTAGCTCTTTTTCCAAGTTCGAGTCTTTGTGAATCGATCTTGATGCTATTGATCTAGTAATTCCCAAAATCAATAGATTAGTGACGATTGCTCGTTTGGTATCCAGCGGGATTAACGAATTTGCAATTTTATCCAGGTACACACTGCGTCAACGGGAGAGATAATACTTTTTAGATTTCACTATAATCGGCTCTACCCCATTCACGATACATAGTTCTTCTTTTTATAGGTTTGACACCACAAACCCACAGCTAAGGCTAATATGGCAAAGTTAATTGCATCTTGGAAAATTATGATTGAGCACGTACTTAGCCTTACCATATAACTAACACAAAATTAGAGCACATTGATAATTATGTACATCAATGTGCTCTAATTTTGTGTTAGTTATATGGTAAGGCTAAGTACGTGCTCAATCATACATAATTATCAATGTGCTCTAATTTTATGTTAATTTTATGTCACTATAAAAAAGAGGAGCATTGGGTACGAATATAGGAGACAGCTATATTATTTGGTCTTCGGAAACACAATACTAAGTAATTTAGGAGACAAAACAATAAAACTGTCCCCATAGATTAATTGTTAATTAATTAATTGGTTTGAGCTTTTTTAAGTCGTCCTCAGAGGAGGGTGAAAAGTTTCGGCGGCTTTACAAGGAAAATAAGAGAGCTTGGCGGGCTTTACGGGATCCATTAATTGAGCCTAAAGTCTGATTTTCCTTGGGCGGGAATGAAGCCACCAATCAACTAAATTTTTATTTATAATAATTAGCTAATATTTTCAGAAGAACGCTTATCGGAAAAAATTTCAATTATAGGGTTTAGGGTTTTTCCCATAGTAAATCCAAACCAATGATAGGCAACTGGAATAAAAGACACCTAGCACCCTCTGCCGCAGCACCGTGTTGGTCGTCCCAGCCCAACCCAGGAAAGAAAAACACAATTCTTTATGGGTTGGCTGTAATTTCTTCGAATGAATTGAAATCAACAACTTGGCGAGTGTAGTCAAAAGTTGATTGGTTGCATATTTTGTTGAATTATTGGTTCTTGGTTCAGAGAGATTTTTTTTTCCAGATCTTCCCGTCTAGTTGAAGAAAATTTCTGAAACCACAAGAGATTTGGAGATCGTATTAGTCTTGTTGCTCGTCTTGGCAAGGTAAGTCTGATTTCTCGATTGTTCTTTCTGTATTTCTTCTTATTCTACTGAATCCATCAAATCCCATAAAACTTTAGTTTTTTTATGTCTCTAAGTAATTGGTTTCATGCTTTGTTATCGATTTACTCTAACCCCCATGTTGATCGGTGGAGAATTCCGGCCCAATTTCTGGGATACCTGCTTCCCCTGTTTAATTTACGATTGAAAGGACTGGAGTCCTTTAAAAGAATTCAATTAACCTATATTTGATATTTCTTTGCTGGACAAATTAGAATTCACCTTAGCTTAAGTTTCTCTTTCCAGCTACGAGATCTAGTTAGTTCCATATTTACCCATGGATTACTTTTTCTATTGCTAGGTTTAGTACTTGATTTATGATTATAGCTTATATTTGTAGCTACATAGCCATTCCGATCTTCTAACAAAGTTAGTTCGCCATTTCCTTCTCCATTGGTTTTGGTTGTTTGTGCCTCCGTTGTTCAAATTCTATTGGCTTGCCTGAATAACTAGTAAACAGCAGCATTGGAAGGAATTGAAATACTGTACAATTTTATTCTTTCCAAAATCATCAATGACATAAGGAACTTCACCTGCCTATGAGTTGTTGGGAGTTGAAATTACTACTTTTAGTACGTTCACTCATGTTTTAATTTGGATAATTTCTCAATTGTATTTGTATAAGGTGATCTTAACGACTTTCTCCTGTAGGAAATGAAATTTTTGTATCATGTCATCTTATAATCTTTTCATGGTTGTGAGAATGATTAAGTTTAATGGTCACAAACTCTTCGAACTCTTCTTAGTCCATTCCTTCATCACAGGTAATTTGATTTCACTTAAAACTTAACTTTTCAACTTAATGGTAATAACGTAGCTATCTTGTCTTCTTTGCTTTTTAAGTCCTTTATAATGATGCGTCTATTTTTCCCCTTGCCTACCTTGAATATGCTTTGTCATGTTCAATCAAATTAGCTGAGTAGCCGAGTATAGTTACTAACTTAATCCTATGTATTGTTTTGTCAGAAAGAAGAGTCCAAATGCTCAAAATCCATCTCCTTATAACGGGACTAATTGTTCTTGTGTATGTTTTATATATTTGTTAGGTAGGTAACGGATACTCTACTCGGTGCATCAAGTGTTAAAGGGACTAATTCACTATGAGGTACTAAGGTAAGTTTTGAAGTAGTGATTAGATGATATATAATAATTATGTTATAGTTTCTTTTGTGCTTCAGCTACTGATCTATATGTGAGACTGTGAGTTACTTTATTTGCTTTTTTCTTTGTTTGCCCACTGCCTGTGTTTTTTTAACCTTAGGTTTTTTCTTCTTATTCTCATTTTCTTGTACATTTTCTTCTTTTCTTAGTTATAGGCTTACTTAGTTTCGACAAAAAAAAAATCCTGAATTTTATACAATATAATTGTTGTAGCTTATAAGTTTAATTTTTTACTTCTTTTTTATTATGTTTCAGGAACAAAGAGAAGAAGGATGTTTGTTGGTCATACCAATTTATGATGTTGAGAAGATAAGATGATACTAGTCTTATGAGATAAAATAATTTGAGAACTGGAACTTGCTATATATTTTCAGTTTGTACGCTTTATAGTTTTTGTAATAAATATTTACTCTCTCATACAATGGATATTGGTTATTCTATTAAACATTGAGATAATATTCTAGTAGGTTTGCTTGAAGTTATTTATGAAGATTATTTGAAGACATTTCGATGTATTGTGCTAGTATGTCATCCATTAGAAGTTTGATCATTTCAGTAAGAATTATGGGAATTAGTTGTCCAGAAATATAAAGCTTAAAGATAATTGGTTGTCCCTATAAGTTATATTAGTGACAAATTGACACACTTGAAGACACTGTATAAGAGATGATTGGTCGTCCCTACCAGTTAATTAGTGACAATTAGATGTCCCCGAAAATACAAAGTAAGGGGCAATTGGTCGTCCCCACAAGCGATACAGATGACAATTAGTCGTTCCCAAATACACATGCTAAAGGACGACAAATCGTTCATACGAGTTACATAGGAGACAATTAGTCGTTCCTAGAAGGTGCATAAGACACAATTCTCGTCCCCCAATACACAAGTTAAGGGACAATTGTTCGTGCCTGGAAATAAAGTTTAGGGGACGACTCATTGTCCTTGCAGTTATAGCTATAGGGACGACATGTTGTCTTTTATGGAAAAAAATTAGACAGCGACTTGCAAGTATCGGGGACGATTGTCGTCCCTAGTAATGGGGACGACCTAGATTTTTGTCGTCCCCAAAAGAATAGAGGACAAGAGTATAGGGAACCACATATTAGGGACGACTTAGTCGTCTCCAAAAACTATGGGGACGATTTTTCCTATTTACGGGGACGACTTTTATCATCCCCAAACCTCCTCCTTTTTGTAGTGTGTTTTTTTTTTGTTTTTTTATATAAATATAATACTATGCAATTCCAAAGTTCTAACAAACATATACCAATAATAATTTGGCCATTTATTGATCCCCATTACCAGTTTCACCTTCTAAAAATGCCTCAACATAAAATTTCCCAAAAGAAAATTAATAAAATGCTAAGTATGATTCTACCAAACCAACAAAGGTTTATTTGGACCAATATCATAGCAAAAGAAGATTATATCATAACGAAACAATGGGTTTCAAGAAGCACTTAGTCTCCATAACTCACTTTATTGAGAGGTTGAATTATATAAATTTTACATAATTTACTAACATGTCCGGCCTCAAACAAAAGTCAATTTATATAGGCTAAGTGTGACCCCCCTAGGCCCTAGTTACATAAGAGAATTTTGTGTATCTACAAGTTAGAGGAAGAAAGGCTTGCAAGATCATTGCGGTATATGATCCTAATGATGAGACTGCAAGGAGGGAAAATTACAGTAAAATGAAGGCTGTTGAATTCTCTAAAGCCGGTGAGTGTTGTTGGTGAACAAGTAACATAAGCAATAACATCTTTCTTTGAGAAGGGTTACCTGCCTAAAGAACTCAACTATGCTTGGTTTCATAAGGTACTAGCAGCTGACCACATGAAACTTTTTACATCAATATCTTGTTGCAGTGTGCTATACAAATGCATTGCGAAAAATCTTAGCTAATAGGTTGTCACAAGTTCTGCCATTGGCGGAGCTAGGTGGGTACTCCCGAGAATTTTGTAGAAATCGTATAAATTTTGGACAATTACGTATAAATTGAATGTTTTCTATATGAAACATGAATGAAAAATCCACATACAAAACGCAAGATAGCCTACCGGAGTTTTTGTTCCTTAGAAATAGTAGTGGTGTGGGTTCAATTCTTGACAGAGCTAAAATTTTAGCTTCCACTAGGAGTCATTCCCAGGTATTAAATTTTTGAAGAACATCCTACGTGCTAAAATGCATTAGCTTCCACTAGGAGAGTCATTCTCAGTCAGGTATTAATTTTTGAAGAACATCCTATGTGCTAAAATGCATTATTAATTAGTTTTTTTCAATAGTCAACTTGGTCCTTTAATTTCATACAATGAGCACTAGGATAGTCATTTCCAGGTATGAAATTTTTGAAGAACATACTACGTACTAAAATGCATTATTAATTTTTTGTTCATAGGATGCTCATTTGTTTCATAATTACATAGTAGAAAATTTAGGTTAAATTATATTTTTAGTGATTTGGTTTGTTACGTTTTAATTCTATATTAGTTATGTATATTAGTCTTTTTGTGATAGTGCGTGAAATAAATAATTTTTGGTCCCCGAACTTCAATTCCTGGCTCCGCCCCTGCTGCCCAATATCATAAGCAAGAATCAATCACCTTTTATAAAAGAAAGTATCAGTGACACCATCCTAAAGGCCTCATAATTTGTAAATGACTACAATAGAAAGCATATATCTCCTAGCTAGAAGCACTATGAAAATAGATTTGACGAAGGCTTTTACCTCGACACAGATTAAGACTTTCTATTAATAGTAATGTAAGCAATGAGTCTTCCTTCTCAGTTTGTGGAGTTGATTAGAATTTGTAATCACTTCTTTTTTTAGGTAAGGGTGATATAGGTATTTTTTGTAAATAGGTACTATTGAAGGGATTCGAACCTGGGACCTTCAAGTTCAAGGCTAATAGTATTACCACTAGACCAATCCCTTGTTCGTTTTGTAATCACTTCTTCCATGTTAAGTGTAGCTGTAAATGAATGGGTACGTGGTTATTATCCAACAAAAAAGGAGTTAAGGATGGGGACCCTCTCTCCCCCATTCCTCTTTACAATAGCTATGGAGGAGCTTTCTTGCATTCTAAATAAGGCAACAGCCACATGAGGGTTAGTATTCGAGCCTAGATGTAAGCATGCAGCTAGGCATAAGCATAACCCATTGGTATTTGCAGACGATTTTTTTATCTTCTCAAATGGTTCGGCTAGAGCATTGTTGGAGAGTGTGTGCGAGTTACTGAAAAGGTTTAGTGTTGGGATCACTGACACAGAACATGAAACTCTTGCGTGACTGTCAAATTTTCTAGAAAACTACCTTACAGGTGAGCTACTTGGGGGTTCCCCTCATTTCTAGCAAGTTAAGAACATGGGACTATAGAGTGCTCATAGAGAAAATAACTAAAGGAATTATTAATGGTCGAAGGCCAGATTGCTTAGCTATGATGGTAAGCTACAACTCAGAAACTCGGTATTAAGTAGTCTAAACCAATTTTGGATGAATGTGTGTTTGCTTCCTATGACGGTAATAAAGGAGATTGAGACAATATGCAATAAGTTCATGTAGGGTATTGAAGAAGGTTTCAAGAAGAACTAAAGTTGTAATGGCTTGAGAATCCTTGGCTATACCTAAACCGGGAGGTGGAAGTTTGAGGGCTATCTGAAATGGGGAGTCCAGAAATTTGCGGGGTAAAGCCAAAAGATGAAGTGGGGAAAACGGTTTGGAATGCAAGCACTTAGTCTGCTCTAAAGGGAGCTATGTTGTAGAGCTCATGGCGGAAAGTTCGTTCAGCATAGTGAAGTTGTCGGGTCTGTTAGAAGGGTTATGGAAGTAGCCAGGGAACGGCTACGGTGCTAATTGTACAATAGTTAGCACCGTCCTAACCAATCAAAAAACTACTACTAGTTTGAATTAGTAGTGATTTAGTTTAGATGTTGTATTGATTTTATAATAATCCGTAGTGATTTTTGCTAGTTATCACGGTGCTAACCCCTATAAAGGTTAGCACCTAATCCCATCCCAAGTAGCCAGATTAGAAAACACCATATTGAATGAAGTTTGTGGTAAAGTGTTCTTGTAATAGGTTAGAAGTAGTTTGCAGTTGTAGCGGTGATTAAGCAGTTCGAAATAGTCTGCAACCTAGATTTGACATATTGTAAATGTGTACAACACATTTTTTTTGTGTGGGAGTGTACAACACTTTTATAGACCTCCAAATCGGAGTTTGCAGTTTACCTTGATTATTAATGAATTTTTTATTGTCCATAATGAAATTGTCGGAATATAAACATATGATCTCTTGATCAACAAAAAATTTGACGTCATTTAAGAATTATGTAGACCAATAACTCAAAACTATTAAATTTAAATAGTTTTTGCATTTAACACATTGATAAACATCATGATCCCCAATGAATAAACACAAAGTCTTCTAATGTATATAACTCTTACGACTGGTGGAGAGGAGTCAAACTCGGGAATTAAACCACTTACATAACGTTAATAGCAGAAAACAAGCTTCCTCGATCTCCTTGTTCCCCCTATTTATTATTAGTCATCTTCAATCAAATAATAACCTTAAACATCCTCCATCCCCGCTCCCCCTTCATTTCGTCAAACTCTAAATTAGTCTCTCAATCTCATCATCGTCCCCCGCCCTCTGTTTCATCCATTTATGCCCATCTCGTTGTTCCCCCTCCAGCCTCTCACGCGCGGTGGGTGAGCAGCGGGGAAACAACGACAGACATATAGCCCTCCCTGCCCATCCACCTCCTAATCTCTCTCCTCTCTCTCGCTGCGTCCATCTCATATCTACCTTATATATATTATTATATAGTTGGGCGTGACGGCGACGACAACAGGAAGAAGGTCATTGACCACCACCACCACCGCCGCCCCTACGATGACGTACAACACGCACCCGTTCCAGCTGTTGGAGATCAACGTGATCTCGGCACAGGACCTAGCCCCCGTGTCGAAATCCATGAAAACGTACGCGGTGGTGTGGGTCCACCCGGAGCGCAAGCTTAGCACAAAGGTCGACCAGGGAGGCAACACCAACCCTCAGTGGAACGAGAAGTTCGTCTTCCGCGTCGATGACACCTTCCTCGATGCCGAAAGCTCCGCCATCATGATCGAGATCTACGCCGCCGCCTGGCTCCGCGACGTCCAGATCGGCTCCGTCCGCGTTCTCATCAGCAACCTCTTCCCCTCCTCCGGCAACGGCAACCACAACAATGCCAAGATGCGGTTCGTCGCGCTCCAGATCCGCCGGCCCTCCGGTCGGCCGCAAGGGATCCTCAACATGGGTGTGCAGCTCCTCGATAACACCATGCGCTCCATGCCGCTCTACACCGAGCTCTCTGCCTCCGGCGTCGCCTTCAACGACCTCCTCGACGCCAAGGCCACCGCTGGGGGTGCGAAGAATCTCGAGGAGAAGACCGCCAAGCTCCGCCGCACCAAGAGCGACCGCACCGACCTCACCTCAGCCGACAACGACACCCACGTCACCCGTGGCCGCAGGGGCAGCTCTGTGGTGGGGGCCAGCTACGTCGGTGGCGGGTCCCTGGTCAGCTCCTCCGTCGTACCCAGAAAGGAAAATGGAGGAGGAGGAAATGGAAATCATCACAATAACAACAACCATCGTAACAACAGCGGCAACGGGAACGGGAGCATGGTGAACGGTGGGTCCCAGTGCTCGGACGTTGGGCCATCGGCGTCGGTGGTGGCGGCGGCGATTGCCAAGGGGCTGATCAGGACGCCAGCTGGCGGAAACGATGCGGGCAGCTCGGTGCTAGACGACTGGACGGAGAATGACAGCGTGGAAGGGCTGAGGACGAAGCTGGAGAGGTGGAGGACGGAGCTCCCTCCCATCTACGACACCGACGTCAAGAAGATGCAGTCCAGGAGCAGGCGGAAGGGGAACCACCACCAGCGCCGGAAGTCGGAAGGTACGAGGTTGTTCTCCTGCTTCGGGAACGCCTGCGGCTGCGAGATCACCATCACGTGCGGCGGCGGGAATAAGAAGAAGAAGAACGGCGGTGGCAATGATCAGAATAAGCACGATGGTCGGCAACACTCCAGCTCCCTTGACAGCCAATCCTATTTTTAATAACTTTTCCACACCTGAAAAAGAGAACAAAATGAAAGGTAATTTGGAGGGAAACGGTCAAATGAAATTATTCATTTGATGAGTTAGGGTTTGTAAATGGAGGTTAATTTTTTCTAAAAAAAAATATATTACAAGGGTGAGAGACACAAACCCTAGAGATTTTATGTTGGTCTAACTGGTGATGGCTGTGTAGAGGTTAGGAAGAGAGAGAGAGAGAGACATCACTCTGGCTTTTGTTTCTTCCTCATTTTGAACTAACAATTTTTTTTTTCTTCTCGTCATCATGATTGGTTTATGATAATTTTCATCATTTTCATTGATGGAAATATTTGTTTTTATATGTGAGGTTTGTTTATACTTTATATTTATTTGTTTGTGTTCCCCCTCTCGTGGTTGTGGGGAAATCTTTAATTGAAGAGATGCAAGGTCAGACTAATTACATACATTATCCTTTCTTTCACTTGATTTGTGTTTGATTACGGGTATGGATGGAGTATGATGAGGCTCAAACTCTATTATCTAAACATATTAATGAACATATAAAATTAAATATTTTTTTCAAAAATTATTATTCTTATTAAATGTGGCCGATAGATAAATAGTGGCATATGAGGATTTTTTAGAGATTGTTTAAGGATGAAATTAAGATAATAAATAAAAATGTACCCCGCGAAGTATACAATTTCATCGCTTGTTACAACCAATCATAGTGATTTTTACATATTTTGAAAAGTGTGTAAAATCTAACCATCGTTATGTTACGCATCATACTTTTTTCACTAAATATAATAAAGTAATCGTTCAAAATTGCCACTCATCCGATTTTCAAGATTGTTCTCCATTAACTCCATACGATATAGGAAAATGGGTCTCTAATCACGCGATCTTATTCACGAAGACTTTCCAAATTATATATAATACATTAATCATCACCGGAAAAAGTCATGTGTTTTGTTGTATATCCAGTCACGGAAATTGATTCACATGTTTTTTTTTATTATTCATTTTCCGTGATTAATAACTAGTACTCATTAAACCATGTGATAATTTTCTTTGACAAAAAACTTCCACAATTTTTTTACGAAAAATTTTGACTCCAAAATTTCGTTTGGCGTCAATAATTTCCTACCAACAAATACAAAAAATTTGGTTCCCACAAAAAAATCCACCAATAATTTTCTTTTGTTCCCTAATGCAATGAAAATCTATTTTCTTGTTCGCTCTTTCCTTTCGCTAAGACAAAACCCTCCCAAAGAGATCACTTCTGATCTATAGTTTTGCTAAGATGAACGATTCCTCTTACCGAGTCGACATTGCGAATCAACATCCTCTCCTCTTATTTCACTCGTATTTCAAGCGAAGCCGAGCAGATTGATGGCGCCAAAAAATGGTAAAGTTCATACCTCTTCTTGGTTTAAATTTATGGTTTCTTTTAACTCTCTCATTCCCTTCTCTAGGAAATCATAGATTGTTTTCTTGTTCCTACCTCCTGTCGCTGCTTCAAGAGGTCGAGATTTTGATGAAGAGGTCATTGGAGTTCAAGGAAGAGTATCTACTAAATGGTAGATGCTGGAAAACTTCGAGTATGGTAATACCGCCAATTTTTCTGTGTATTCTTTCTTCAATAATTTCTTTGTTTTTAAAGTGTCTTCTCACACCATGGCAGCATCAATAGCAGCAATAACCAGCAGCAGTGGAAGCAGAAGTGGTAGCAGTAGGTTAATATGTATCGTACTTTGAGTACCCAATATATGTCTTACCTAAACCTTAATTTGATCTTGGTTCAGCTTGGCAATTGGTGCTGGAATTGTAATCTTGTTCTGCATTTCCTCAAATATAGGGCTGACAATCGGAGCGGTTGCGGGTAACCGCACCAGAATGTTCGGTTCGTGGCTTGGGTCTGGTTTGTAACTGCTTTTCCTTTACCATATTAGATTAGGGTTAGGCCTTGGAGAAGTACTATAAATACTTCTCATACTCCTTTGTAATCTGTATCTCCTTGAAATATAGTGAAACTGGCTCTCTCCTCCCCGTGGACTAGCTAACACACAATGTGTTAGTGAACCATGTAAATTGTGTGTCGTGTGTGTGTTTGTGATTTCGTTTTCTTGCATTGTCGAATCCTAATATTTCCCTATCCGCAGAAAACTGTCTTGACAAGTGGTATCATAGCTCCGATTGGAAATCATGCTAGGGTTTTGAATATGAAGAATGACGTCAATAAACATGAAGATAGAGAATTTCACGGGGAGGAATAGTTTCGCTATATGGAAGATCAAGATGCAGACTTTATTGAAACAACAAGGGTTGTGGGGGCCGCTGTCTGCAAAACAGAAGAAGGCAGCGGTTGATGACAATGAGTGGAATACCCTGGAGGAGAAGACTCACTCGACCATCATGCTATCGTTGTCTGATCATGAAGTTAAGGTTGATGATGAAAATTTTTCCCTAATCAGGATTGTTTCTTTGTTGAGTTCATGTGAGAATTTTGTGGATTCTTTTATTGCTGGTAAAGATAGCTTGTCATTGAAAGATGTCTGATCTTCTCTTCATACGAGAGAGATCAGGCATAAGGCGTCCGGATCTGGTATAGGTGGTGAAGCATCAGGTTTGGTTGTCACAGGTGGAACGGGAAAGAAGAAATATGATAAAGGGAATTCGAACAGAAACTCGATTTCTAAGGGTCTCGGTCCACAACCAAGTGTTGCATGTCACATCTCTAAGGAAATTGGGCATTGGAAGTACAATTGTCTCAGAAAGAGAGGTCGTCAAAAGAACCAAGGTTCTGTTGTCGTGGCAGAAGTGGACAACAGTACTGAAGACGATCTCGCATTGGTTATAGATGAGAAGGCACATCGTGGCTATGAGTGGTTTCTGGATACTGTAGCCTCATATCATATGTCTCCGAATAAGGAATGCTTCTCAACCTATGAGCAGATAGATGGTGGTAACGTGGTTATGACTAATGAAGTTGTCTGCAAGGTGATTGGAATCGGGTCTATCAAGACTTGGACACATGATGGTTTATTTTGTACCGTGAACGAAGTCAGGCATGTTCCACAAATGACGAAGAATCTGATATCCTTGACTCTTCTCGACAGCAAGGGTCTCAGTTTCAAAGGAAGATGTGGAGTTGTTTATGTCTGCAATGGTTTGAGGAAGGTGTTGAAAGGCGCATGTGACCTTGTATACATTACAATGGTCTGTGTCGTTGACTCGACTCTACTGTCACTCCAGGAATTGGCCAAGTGTAACCACTTCCTAAAGCGTAGTATAGCGGGTTTAGGTTTAATTATCAACCCGGGTCCTAGATGTGATGACTACTCAGTGAATTCGTGTTATCTAGCAATGAAACTGGAGTGCAAGTCTAAACTAACAAACTAACAAAGCAGGTAAACGGTTGTATTCAGGTTAAGAGAGGTCACCCGGATATGGTTCCCCCTAGACTGCAGTTAAGCCGGATTGTAATTACCAAGTTCAGTTTCTATGACAGTTATACTGCGGAAGGTTCTTAAACAGCCTGAAGTCTCGACTAAAGGTCTTCAGACCCTCTCAATCTGACTCTCTAGCGGGCGACTAACCTCCACCGGAGTCGACAGATTGAGGCCCTAAGAACAAAACCTCCACTACCGGAGTAAATCCGGTACAGAATAGTGAGTTGGCTCCTCGACTAAAGTCACCAACTCCCTACCTTCAATCAAGGATACTCTATTAACCTAGGCAGATATTCTCATTCTAGGTTAAAGCAGAAACAACAGGAATTTGATCAGGAATCAAGTCATTCAATCATTCAAACCTCAATCGAATATAATCAAATCATAGAATCAGTACTTGGGTTCATACAATCAAAGCCTAACATACAAATCTAGGGTTCTCCATACCCAGATGAATGGGAGAACTACTCCATAGAGAAGAAAGCAAAAGCAGAAACAGACACGGAATTCATACTGCGAAGGACGGATTCCGGCTCCTGGACGTTGATCGGCACTTCTCCAAGCTCAAACTGGCCTCCAATGGTGTTGAAGATCAATCTAGGGCACTTGGGAACTCTTGCTCGTCACTTTCTCTCTCTAGGAACTGATCTCTCTCTCAAAAACTCGAATCCCCTTCTGTTTGGCTGAAAATCTGCTTAAAAAGGCATCAGCCAAAGCACGGTCGAGGGCACGGCCGTGTAATGATTCAGCCCGCCCGTGCTTTGGCTAGTGTTAATTACACGGCCAGTGCATTGGGAGAACGTTATGCTGATGTGGAGCTGCTTCAACATTGCCATGAACTTGGCAAACTCAGTCTCCAGCTTGTCCTTGTGTAGGCGAGTGGGGAAGGGAAGCTGGGGTACATGCTCCTTAACCACTGGTTGTGGCTTGGGAGCAGGGGCTTCTTTCTCCACCCGCACTTCTGCATCGTCGGCTGGAAGTGCTGAAGCAGTCAGTGGTTCCTCCTGTCTGGCCGGGACAGGATCAGCAGATATGGTCTTACCGCTCCTGGTAAAAATGGCATCCAGCTGCTGATTCTGATGAGGATCTCGAGGATTCGGGACAGTGGTGGCAGGCAAGGTCCCCGGTGCCCTGGTGGTGTTCTGGCGGGCCAAGATGCCCACCTGGGTCTGCAAATCCTGCAAAATGGCACCCTGGTTCCTCTGACCTGCCTCCAGTGAGGCTACACTCTGGTCCAACCTCGTAATAGTCGCCTGAGTGCTCGTCATGAATGAAGCTAGATGTTTTCCAGCTTCGTCATCCTGTCATCTGGGGCTGGAGCTGCTGCTGGCTCGGCAAACTGGCGCTGGGGCTGCTGGAATGGCTGCCCCTGCCTAGGCTGGTAGGGCTGCTGTGGGTCTGGCCCCTGGCGAGCCTGGAAGGGCTGCCTCTGCTGAAAACCACCTGCTGGTGCTGGGAAACCAGGTGGTTTAGTGGTGTTGCTGCTCCAGGCGAAGTTGGGATGCTGGCGCCACCCCTCATTATATGTGCTGCTGTATGGATCGAGGCGCCTCGCATTGGCGATGAAGGCCAACTGCTCCTGGGGTGTGGTAGACTCCCTCATAGCCTGGCAGTCCTCCACTAGGTGATTGGAGCTCTCACACCACTGACACTGAGCAACTGGAGGTGTAGCCAAACCTCTGCCCGGAATAAGACTGTTGGGCTGCTTCAATGTCTGCACTAGCTCAGCTACCTGCTGCTCGAGCCCGGATCTGGTCTCCATGGAGTGCACACCACGGTCCCGGGACTGTCTGCCTCTGCTGCTCTGCCCCCAGGAATGATCTCTGGCAGCCAATGTATTAATCATCTGGTTCAGCTCGGGTGGAGTCTTAGTGAGGATATCCCCTCCTGGGCATAGAGACTCAATCACCCTCTGGCTATCTGGAGAGAGGGCACTGTAGAAGTTCCCCACTGTGAATGCATCGCTGAAGCCATGATGGGGGCATTGCCAGAAATAGCCCATGTACCGCTCCCACGCATCACGAAGTGACTCATCTGGCTCTTGGCGGAAGTGAGTGATCTCCCGCTGGATCTCTGTAGTCTTCGATGCCGGATAGTACCTGTGCACAAACTTGTC